TGGTCCCCACTGGACCCTCATCATTTCCTTCACCTGCTCCCCCCACCGACCAAACTGTGCAGCTCTGCAACTGCATCCTGGCCCATCCTCACCCTTCTGACCCCAACCCTCACCTCCTTGTACCCCCAATATGTTTTTCCCAATTAAAAAAATATTTTAAAAAAAGAAAAGAAATGACAGAGACAAGGTGAGGGAGGTGGTGTTATGAATATGGACTCAACAGATTTAGAGTGATACATCCATAAATCTAGGTATGTCAAAGATTGCTTGACGTAACCAGAAGCTAGTAAGGAGGTGGGACTGAGCCTCCTCAGGGTCCTCCGGAGAAATCAACAGGGTTGATCTTCATTTTGACTTTTAAATCCAACAACTGTAAGACAATGAATTTCTGCTTCTACAGGCCCCTCAGTTTGGAGCAGTTTGTTATGGCAGCCTTAGAAACTAACAAAGGCCTCCTTGCCATACTTGCTCTGAATGTTTCCTAAACATTCCAATGCAGTTATAGGCCTGTTCTCTATGGCACTTAGTCACCACCCTCTTTAAGCACGTATATGACAAATACTTAGCTGTGCACTGGGTATGAATCACACCCTTACAAATCACCCCACATATGAAATCTGGTTCGGCAACAGAGCTTAACAACTAGCCAAGTGGACTGTGCAGTTGATGTGGATGCAGAGAGTAAGGCAGAAGGAGAGAAAAGTCAGAAGCGGCATCCCAAGGAAAAGTTCATTTAGTCTGAGCCTTAAAGGAGAAAGAATGCTTTCCTTGAGGAAAAAGAGCTTTCTAAGCAGAGGAATAACTGCAAAATGCTACTCAAGAGAAGTTAGAGCTGGCTCACAGCAGGGCTTGTACATGGTAAACAACTGGAACTCCATTCAACAGATTTTAAGGAATGAGTTCAAGCCCAGAAATGTTTGGGTACCAGAGATGTGGCTGTGCCAGGGTGAGCTGGAGGGGCTGGCAGAAGTGAGACTGAAGGGAACTTGCTCACCCCTCAGTCAGAGCCAAGTGAAGAAATCACTGCTGTCCTACAGCTTTGGGGAGACTCCAAAGTAAGGACTCTTTTTCCCAGAGCTACACAAGCCCATGCCATTGAGTTGGTTCTGACTTGGAGTGACTCTTCAGTTACTGAGGCTGTAAATCTGGGTCAGTCCATCTTTCTCTCACAGAAAGGCTGGTGGATTTGAAATGCTGCTTTCAGTTAGCATCACAAAACATCACATACTGTGTCACCTGGGCTCCTTGGTTGAGGAAGCATGCCTAGGATCAGAACTCACGCTGCTTGTATCACAGCTTTTACGTCCTACAAGAAGCAAGCCACTGGGTGGCTCTGACCTCAAATGGTGGTGATGGTGGTGAAGCAGAATCAATAGGCCAGAGATTTGAACAGAAACAGGGGTTTGAGTAAAGAGGGGTCAGGGACTCAGCTAAGGAACAAAAGAGGGACAAATGTATTGAGGGTAGCAACTGTGATTTTGGTTTTGTGCTTGAGGGGCACCTACATAGAGATGTTTAACTGGAAATGGGTTTGCAATGGATTGGTGTCCAAGTGGCATCTACTGAAGAGTATTTTGCCACTATAAGCTAGTAGTATCTTTAAAGATCATGAATGTGATTTTTCTTTTCCAAAGGAAATATATTTTTATCAAAATAGATCCATTTCCAATTCCTGAAAATATTCAGAGTATTATGACCATTAGAAAACGTAGTTTTCTTCCCCCACTGAGGCTATTTTAATGTTATCACTTATACTAGTGGTCAGGTTGTACTGTGTTCCTTTTGAGTTTCACACATCAACAGGGACATGGAGAAAGTGAAACGCATCAAGAGAAGAACAAAATGATTAAATGGCTAGAAAATTGGTCTATAAGATTCAACTATCAGAGGAGGTCAAAAGATCAGCATTTACTTAGACTGCAGAAGAGCAGTATGAAGGTAATTTAATGGTAGTACTCAAGTCCATGAAGGATTGCCAAAAGAAGAGCAGTTGCCAGAAAGCTTCCAAAGCTTCTCTGCCCTCCGAGGATTAAAGAGGAGAAAATGAGACTAAACTGTACAGGAGAGAGGCTTGCCTGGCAGGAGGGAAAATTTCCTGACAGCAGAGCAGACAAGTTGATTTCATGTCTCCATGGTGCAAGCCAAATTTCTACTGGAGACATTCCATTGGAGGGGTTCTTGGAATTCCCACCGGCATCCGAGCAAGTGCAGGGTTAAGAAATGAGCAAAAGAGGAACATGCCACCTCTGAAGGTATGCCAAGACTTGAAGGCTTCCCCAACTCCAAGAACACAGCCCAACTCCAAGACTCCACAATCTGGGCATATCCCAGGAGACTGGTACACAGAGCTCGAGGGCAGAGGGAGGGAACATGCTGAAATGGTGGACAGGGCCACCCTCCAGACCTTAGAATAGACCCGCTGGCAGGCAAGTCTCTGGTAACAGATTAAATGAGAAAAACCAGACAGTGGTCCGCCCCCTGAATCCAAGAGTGCCAATGCGTGGAGTCAAACAATGGGAATGGAAAATTAGGATGGATAATAAAAAAGGAAACAATTATACGGTGAACAATTCCTCTAAGGCTAAGAAGGACCACAGAGTGTTATAATTTAAGGAGTCCTGGCGGCCCCGTGTTGAAGCACTCAGAGTCTGAATCCGCCTCCCACTCCCCGACCGTCAGGAGAAAGATGTGGTGGTGTGCCTCCAGAAAGATTTACGGCACTCCTACTCTCCTTGTGTACAGCTGCTTGGAGCTGAAATCGACTTCATGGCAGCAGATTTGGTTCCAGAGAGAATGTAAAGTATACAGATGGATGTGTATAGCTTATTTACAAATACTATGCCAATTTCTAGAAATGGTTTGGATGTTCTCTGATTTTGTTTTCCACAATGGTCCTGGAACCAAGGATATGGAAGAATGATTATTTTAATGGGTGAACTATGTGTTTAAACAATTATGGGGTGGAGGTTAGCTTAACCCAAAGTAAGGGGGTCTTGTGTCTTGGTGCCTGAAAAATAACCCTGAAAGTACGTGAAGCCTCAGCACATATCTGAAGTTCTGTGCTATTAAGTAGGTGCCTAGCCAGCGCACCTGCGAGACCCACCTGGGAGATTAACAAGCACACTTAGGAATCATGGAGCCGCCTATCACGCACCGGCAACAAGGGCTGCATCAGGACTGCTGCCAAAAGCTATGAGAGTATCGCACGGGGAACCCTCCAGGTATCGCTTAAGGACCTCTTCCCTCTTTTTCTTTTGAGTTCTGCTTTCACTTATTTATTGTTTAAATCTATAGTAATCTTCCTTAATAAGGCAGCCAAAAGCTATCTACATACACCAAACTGATTTACAGTAAAAACTTGCTGAGTATCAACACATGATCTCACACACTTAACAACCTTTCTCCTTTTTTATTACCTTGATTTACCTTTTACTTTTTAAGGTTTTTTTAATTGTGATTTTAACAAAAGTTTACAGAAAAGTTGGATTTTTCATTCATTCATTCTTTGTTGAACACTTTCTCGACAACCCCCCTCCCACAGTTCACTTTAAAAAAGAAATTCATTCATTGATGCATAATTTCCTCCCAGTTCACTTTGCTATGCACATCTTATTCTAGACTGCTGAGTGAAATATCTCAGTCACAAAAGGACAAATACTGCAAAATGACACTGTTATAAAGCAGGACTGATATGGGGGTTGGAGGGAAACTAAGAAAAGAAGGGCTAAAGAATGAACATTGCACTGGGACAGATGAAAGGAAGAAGTGTTTAAAAAGAATATATGATTAGGCATAAAGTGAGGAGGGTAAGCAGCTGAGTAACCACCACCTCTGATCCTTAATATGACCTTTCTCAATGTTAGCTGACAGTCTGAACAGAAAACCTGAGAGCAAGAGAGCTACTCAAGCTTCCTGAACCCCAGTGCAACTTGCTCTCAGCTTTATGAAATTCTACACATAAAGCTTACTTTTGGTAGGGACATAGAAGAACACGGGGTCTGTCCATGACCCATTCCCTGAAAGGGAAGTAGCCTGAATCCGGGCTGTGTAGTTTCCTGGGTTCAGCCGGTTAAGCTTTGCCCCTCCATGTTTCCGGTACTCCTGTCTGGAAATACACTCTCGCTGATCCTGGGGAAAGTAAAACACATATGTTAATCCTCTAGCAGTGCTTTCACCATGAACCATGACTGTCTTACCAGACAATGATTCAAATATTTAATCAAAAGAAGAAACCAAGTCTGCAAAGACAGGTCTCCAATAACATTATGTACACCCAAGTTTCACAAAATATTTTTGTAAACAAAAAGAATTCTAAAAGGATGAAGTCATTAACAAATGATGTACACAGTAATTATTGGTAATTTTCTTGATGATAAGGCTAAAGTCTATCACTGCCTAAGCTAGTCACCACACACTGACTGACTCAAAGGCACTCCCTGTGGTAAGAACTGAATTCCACAGAATTTTCAGTGCCTCATGTATAATTTTCAGTTTTTGAAAGACAATACCTGGCTTTCTCTTGATGCACCACTGGGTAGATTCAGCCAACCAACCTTCTGCATAACAGTCAAGCATGCTACCTATTTACACCACTCAGAAACTCTTTATTTCTTTGCCTTTTCCTGTGGCATTCTTCTTCGAACACCCTGGAAGCCAGAGCTGAATCCTCACTGACTCACCATCTTCACTGATGTTTAAGTCTCAGCCATGACATGACTGTGCTGTAATGCCTTACATACTCTACACGGTGATAGACATTACACCCAAGCTTGGACAATTACCCAGTCTTACCTCCACTTGTGATCCATATTTTATTTCATACATTAATATCAATCCATTGGGATTCTCAGGTTCTGACCACTTTAGAAAGACTGAGTTTTCAGGCCTTGACTCCCAGGTCACTGGCCCAGGAATGTCATCTGCTCCTTCTGTAAAATAATTTGGCAAGCGATAAAGTCAGAGTCAAGTTCCCAAGAACTGAGACAAACACCAGGCTAACCTGGGGTAAATGGAAACCCTCAGGACCCTGTGAGGACTTCAATCTAAAGATGCCACTGCACTCCTCCCTTGCCAAATAAGGCTGATTTTGACCACTTAAGTAACCTTGTCCTGTCTATCCTTCTCCCACCACTATAAATAGAGCCTACTGGAAACTGCCACAGACAGGTTTTGCACAAGCAGAAGCAGCAGCAGCGCAGCCGCAGGAGGCTAGCTAACGCCCTGGCCCCTTAACAGTCCACACTGACAGGTGACAGTGCATTATACAGCCCTGAAGGATGGCCCACCGCCTGCCCGCTGAGGAAGTGCTAGGAAGGGGAGCTGAAGAAGAGGCATCTAGTCCTCAACCACTCTGCAAGGTGGTGGTGGTGGTTCTCCTGCATATGCTTTGCAAAACTGTAAACAAGAGGTAAACAAAAGTCATTAGAAGAGCTAGAAATGGCTCTGAGAAAGCAGGTGATCTACCTATCACCTAGGAAAAACCAAACCAAACTCATGGCTGTGGAGTCAATTTCAACTCACAGCAAACCCTCCACTGAGTTTCCAAGGCTGTAAATAACAATGTGCTCCCACTGGCACATGTAGTGGATTTGAACTGCCAACCTTTAGGTTAGTAGTCTGGGCACCAATGACTGTTAGTGCCAGAATGTATCCCAGGCCTGGAAACACATCCATACCTCTCTGCTACCTGCCATGTCCTGTGCTTCAAAGTCCCCTCAAAAGTGGAAAAAGAAAAATATCTATTGGAACAAAAGGCAGTGGCTTCTAACTTAGAAGGGAAAGCGGATGACAGACATTTGGGACTAGTCCAAGTGTTGACCCTGAAGAGCTGTGATAGCCGGGCTTTATGTGTCAACTTGGCTAGGCTGTTTCCAGCTGTTTAAGTCAATTATTCAGCTAGTAACTGTTAAGAAGTAGTCACATGTGATGAAAGCAGCAGGTGTTAAGGTAGATTACCTTCCATAATATAAAACTAATGTAATCTAACCAGCTGACAGTCTTAACAGGAAATAGTTTCTCTGGGTGGGCTCTGCTTAACAAAGAGAAATTGATTATTCTGGTAGACCCTTCATCTTACTCTTCTTGTTGTCTGACCTATCAATTTCTTCAGGATAAAAACCAGCAGGAATCCCCAACATGTCAGCTTACCAAAGGATTCTGGATTTGCCAGCTCCCTATAAACATAAGACAACTCTTTGGAGTAGATTAATCTCTCTCTACGTATCTTATCTATGTATCTTATGGGTTCTATCTCTCTATAGAGAAGATTAAGACAGTGTCCACATTGCTGGCATACCATGCCGCCTACCAGTGCCACACATTTACTACAAAGCAGAACTATGTGTCATCACACCGAGTGTCAGGCTCTGTGTCCACACAACGCTCTCTCTCCCCCAGAAGGAGTCAGGAGCAGGGTGAACCGAATCACGTCATACCTGCTGGCATTGTCCTCGCAAAGACGAAGTTGGAGGCACTGCAGCCAAGCTTCTCGGCCTCGTGGTTGCAGCTGTGGATATCAATGCGGTACAATGTGAAAGGACGCAGATTTGAAATGACGGTTCTCTCCTTGCTTTCTACTCTGCTCTCATAGAAGGGGAACTCTGTCTCAAACTCTTCTGTGTCTGTTGAATTGTAGTCAGCCACGGTGTTGTTCCTGCTCCGGTTGGATGTGGTGGTGTTGACAAATTGTATAACATTCCGTCTCTTCCTTTCAGGTCTGGGGTGGGGGGGGTGAAGAAAAGGAAAACAGAAGCTGAGTTCTTCAGTGTTTTCTTTTTTCTGTTCTGTGACTTGAAGAACACCACAGATAAAAGATAACTGGCCGCTAGCAGGCCTTTGGCTGGCCCTTATTTGTCTAAAAGAAAAAGTCCTGGAAAGAGGATGCAGAGTGCCATCAGATCCCTATCGGCTCAGCCCAGCAAATGCTGTCTCCACTGCTGCATAGAGACATACTAGGGCTCTCCAACAACACAAGCTGGCTGAAATAGGTAATGCCCTGGAACAGGTATGTCCACTGCAAACTGCAAAGGTGGGACGTTATTTGAGGGGAACTGTTAGTAAATGAAACTGATAATGTACTTCTCCTCACATTCTGGTTGATAGCCAAATTTCCTAAAAGGGAGAGCCCAAGGAACCACATTTATTGCTACCAAGAGCTTTTTATCACATATGCCATATTTCATTTCCCCCTTTTCCTTCTAATCAACACAACATACATACTCATTTGCATCTGTAAATAAGCAGTTTTATTGAGCTTCAATCCCCTGCAAAATAATACTGTGTGAAAAACTTTCCCTCATTTAACATAATACCATTCAGTCCATGCAGTGGTTTACTTATCTATTTATAAACATCACACTTCTGGGCACTGCATAGCTATTAGTGTTCACATCAGATCAGGAAATGAGGGAGCAAGATAATGTCTGGGGTAAACAGTAATTTTGTGTAAATAGTCACATTTCTAAATGAGATGGCCTACTGGAAAAGGCATTCAAACCCCAAGGCAGGCAGTTCGAATCCACCAACTCCTTCTTTGCAATCTACAGCCTCTGAAATCCCAGCAGAGGATCAGCTATAGATTGGTCCCAACTCGATGGCAATTAGTCAGTCAGTGAACCACCCCCTCTACATCTATCCCAAGACATGAGTCTGTCTGTTCTTTACAGCCATCCCATGATGCCACCCACTGCCATTTGGAACTCTTTTGCTTATCAATGCCTGCCAATCCTTCAGCTAGTTAAACCAGACTATGTGATTTTAAAAGTTAAAGCAGCAGTCAATGAAAGACATTCATCATAAAAAAAAATAAAATCAAGTTCCCAAAGCAACTTCTCCAAACATTGGTTTTCATTCTACTTCAAATCAAAGTGGATAGATCACACAATGTATAATAGACTGAATCTAACTTAATTGGCTCAAGCCTCAAAATAAGTTGTCCTCAGAATGACTGGGAAAGAAAAGCCATTTCTGGACAATCTTGCTGTGAGACAGAAAGTCCTCTTCTCTGACCACTCAGTGATCCTATCATCTGCACAGTCCTTCCCTAGCCTCCACCAGAACTTGCCACAGTTCGGCTATAAGTGAAGTGTCTGGATTCGGTATCCCTGCCTTTACGTCTGTCTTTGCTATTTCTATCAGCCAGCAATTAATAGTTTACAGCTCCCCTTTAAAGGAGGTAAAAAAGAGAGCAAACACTAAATTTTAAAATTGTGGCCTCTGACCATGGGAGAAAATACAGGATTCATATACATTAAATGAAACGAGAGAACAGCAAGCCAAACTTGCCTCAAAAATCCTCATGTAACCCATGCTAGCTCATGGCGACCTCATGTGTTACAGAGAAGAATTGCTCTGTCAAGTAACTATGGAAGCAGAATGCCACCTCTCTCACAGTACCAGAGTGGATCTGAACTGCTACACGTCAGCTGTGTGCTGTTTGTGCTGTTGTGTACCACTGAGTTGGAACTGACACACTGCTGGCCCTCCAGAATGTTTTCAGAGGCAGTTTAACTGCACAGAAGACTGCCTATCTTTCTCCTATGGAGCAGGTGGTGGATTCGAACTGCATGCCTTCAGGATTGCAGCACAGTTCCTTACCCCTAGGTGACCACAGGTGAGGAGAAAAGTGCAAACCTCAAGGGCCTCCAAATTTGTCTTAGCAGAGCTGAAATCAGAACTGGCACTATGAAGAAAATGCCTACCAAGTGTAAGATGGCAACATCACGGTGCCCAAGTAGTTTGTGTCACCTGCAACTTTGCTCCACACCTAATGTGAATAAAAGTATCATAACTACACCGAAATGCTAGTAAACCTTCCCAACACCTCCGACCTAAGGACTCGAAATCTGCACTCTGGAAGGTATATGACAGAAAATCTCACTCAAGGCTACTAATCAAACTGCCCATTTTCTCTTGGCCCAGCCCATCTGGGACACTAACCTCACCTTCAGCATCATCATGCTCCACTGCAAGGTAAGCCTTGGCTAGCCTGGGATAGTCACTTGTTAAAGAGAAGGCAATGATGGACAGAGTGTTGGTGTGTGGGAATTTGGAGCCATTAATCCACAGCGACTGTCAACTAATTACAGTCTTGGAAATGTTACCATACCTTTCTGAATTCCTGGGTTAAAATTTAAATGAAAAGCCTGAAAAACAACCTTGCATAGTGATTCCTACTTAGGGTGGCACCAGGGTGACAGAGGAGAACTCTTCCCTGGGGTCCGTTTGCTTGTTTTCTCAACTATTGGAGCTCTGGTGGCACCAGAGCTCCCGGTGTGTCGCCCCGCTGAGCTCAAGGCTTCTTTGGCACTTCTGACGCATCAGCAGCAACTCAGAGAAAAGTGGACAGTCTCCTCCCGCAAGACGTGCTGGAGAGAGAGCTACTGGCCAGTTCTGACTAAAGGAAGGGAGATGTTTCTGTGAATATTAACAAAAGGAGAACAGCATGCCTCTTCTTCCACAGCTACCGTGGACAGACTTAAACTGTCAACCTTGAGTGTGGTCATCAGTGATCATTTGTGCCACCTGGGGACTCTGTCCCTAAACCACCCACAAACCAGACACCCAGACATCAAGGCCTGCTGAGCTGGTGGGTTTTAACTCACATCTTACCAGTTTAAACTGTTTGTTAGAGAAGTAAGAAGACAGCAAATGGCACAATGAAAATATTAAATGAAAAAGGCAAGCTCTCTAGTAAAAGTTATCAGATTGAAACCATTTATAAATAAAAAGAAAAACTCAAGATCTAAAAAAATGTAAATATCTCTCTAAAAGGTCTTTATTTCTTATTTTACTTACTTTCCTGAATAAGACTGCTGTTTTGCCACTGTGTAAATATCAGAAAGGCCACTTGATAATAACAAGCAAAAAATACCCCATGAAACAGAACCAATAAAATTTCAAAAACTCTCCATCATTGTAGTTTATGAAAGCCTTTAAGAGTGAAATAAGTACAGCAGAGAACAGGCTTCTCCAGGCTTGCACACGGAGGTATGTGTGCACCCAGAGGCGCCTGTACAAAATGGCCTGGCAATCTACTTCTGGATAGCCGCCTACTGAAACTAGGGAGCACAGGTCCACTCTGACACAGAGTCAGGCTGCTTGGTGGCATTGGGGACAGTGTCCTGGAGCTGTCAGGACAGGCTATGATGAAGGACAGTGATGACCGTGTGAGAGGTCCCTGGCAGCCCAGGTCTTGGGGAGGGGGGGTAATCTACTGCAAGCTGGGTGGACACCAAACTTCTATCTAGACTTAAGTCACAAGCCTGTTTGCAAGGTCTAGAGTGCGATCTTTCAGGAAGGACAGGGCAACAGCAGCCATCACTCCATCCACCATTAGAAGACACTGAGACTGGGAAATGGTGGCCCACTGCAGGCAACTGTGTGCCCAGGCAGTAGTACCTCTCAGGACAATGACCTCCAACCAGAAGCCCCTTCCCTCAAGGCTGACTGGCTTTCACCAGTAGCTCCACTTGACCAAACGAAGTTCCATTGTGTGGCTCATTCTTCTGCCAACAACTATTCACTGAGAAACTACCCAAGGCGGGGTGGGGAAGAGGAGCAATGGGACCGGCTAGAGAAACAGCAGCATCTACACACTTCTGTAGACAGCGGTCGCACCTGGGCATGAAGATGGCATTGTGCAGGAAATTCTCAAAGACTTTGCGGTACTCGGCTTCCTCCTTCTCAGCCTGCTTCTCAGCCTCTGTTTTGGGGCAGGCGCAGCAAGGCCCTTTCTCACCACCACACACCTCCGTCTTGGGATTCTCAGTCACCTCCTCAATGTCGATGGTCCCATCAGCATACCTCCTGATGGGGATTTTGTCTTCTCCAAAGAGAAACACAGAAGTAGAGATGAGAGCCAAGTCAAGCATGCTGGTGAGGAGAAATCACAACTCTCAGCATCTCTAATGGAGAACTCAGCTGGTTTCCAACTAAGGGTTTCCTGATACTCTTAACAAAAAGGTTATGTTTTCCAAGAGTGGGTGTGAACACCCTTACCTTTGGAGCAGTAATTGTGCCGGTAGAGATAACTATCCTGGGGCTGCCGCTGCCACCGCACAATGTAGTAACTCAGATTCCCATTTGGCAAGGAGGGAGGGTTCCACTTTACAATCAACTGAGAAGAGGAGTTTGATGCTGACAGAACATCCAACGGAATGGAAGGAACTAGAAAGAGGCACAAAGTACACATTAGAAAAGGGAATAAAATCCAGGCTGCAACCTGGTCTGTGAACCCTCACACACCATGATGCATGTTTCCCAATAGCCAGGGGCTCTATGCAATCTCGTAATCAATAAAACCCCATACAGCACAATGGAGGCATGCAGATAACCATTTTGAGCTGGTGTTTTATTCATTCATGTCTTACTTTATTTTCAAAGTTCACTATTTGTTAAGTAAAAATAAGAAAACTGGGCCATGTAATTTGTGAAGAGTGAGTGAGTGTGCGTGCGTGTTTACCGTCTGACTTATATCATATGTAATGTATGTGCATATGGGGTGTGTTGTGTTCGAGAGCAGCAAGGCCTTGGTGTGTGAGTGGGTGTATACTGTATTTGTGCATGAGTGGAAGTGCAGAACAAAATTGTTCTTTATTATAACTCATTAAAAGAATTTTCTTTTTTAGCTGTTATTTTTAGAATGAGAAATAAACTGAGTACTATTATGGAAGACAATGAAAATCTTATTAATTAAAAAATGGTATGAAGTAAAAGTTCTTCATGGATTTCTAGTGACACTCCATACAAACCAACAAGAACTGCAGGTATAACCAGGATTAGAAGACAGCAATGAACAAAATTAAAACTCAACACAAAATTAAAACTCAACCATTTCAGAGACTATTAATCTCAATGCCAATGTTCTTCTTTGTAATGTTTATTCTTAGGGAATCCCTGGGAAAATAAACCTTTGAGAGTTACAAATACAAATTGACTAGGGCGGTAAAACCAAGGGTGAGAATGCTGCTGTATTTTGCTGAGTTGGAACCGACCCACAGCTGATCCTCCAGTGGTTTTTCAGAGGTACTTAATTGCATGGGAGAAGACCATCCATGTTTCTTCCAAGGAGCAGCTGGTGGATTCAAACCACATACCTCTGGGATTGTAGTACCACCAGGCTACCCGAGCTCCAGGGGCGAGAACAGATGGTGTAAAACCTA